GGGTTAAAATATTAAAACATTAAATATTATAATATTAAGATATTATTATCAGCCACCCTCTGAGCCACACTCACCTGTGGGACACTGCAAGCAAGGCTGGGTGTGCTGCCAAGAAAAGGGTTTAACCCAGCTCAGGGCAGCTCAGGACCAGGAGAGAACTTGTGAAATGAACTATTTCACTTTTCCAAGTGCTGCAATCGTTCACTTTTATTTTTCATCAGCGTTTCTGCAGGTGCCCTGGTGTTTCCATCAGTGGGACGACTCCCCTCACTTCAGCAGGTTTCCCCACGATCCTTAACCCCACAGAAAATCCTGTTAGGTATCACACAATTATCTTTAAAAAATCCACTTCAAATTCTTGGGCAGTGTGAGAAAACTGAAGGTTTAATTACAAAAAAAAATCACATTATACCATATAATTCACAGCCTTGCAGTGAAATCTCCGTAAACATCATCCTGCAGAGCGAGCTCGGTGTGTTGTAACACGGCTGCCTCTCCAACAGCCAGCTAATATCATCTCTTAGGAATTTATTATGAGTGTTCTATGCCCTGTAACTTTTTTATGTCAGGTTGTTAATCGCAGCGAGCAGGATGTGCTGAAGGCACATTTGGGTAGGAAAGATGAATTCCACCCTGGGATTTGCCCCTCAAAGCTTTGGGGGGACAAAGGAATATCTTTACCCAATGCCATCAGTGCTGCTGGTTTAGTACATCCAAAGGGATGCAGGAAATAAGAGAATTTTTAAAGGAGTGTTTTGAGGTCATAAAGTTGTTTTTGGGACTAGCCACGCACAGCCCCCACGCTGTATTTTTCAGTGCCCAGCACACATTTCCCTCTGATCCATCTTTCCGTCTGTCTGCTCGGTTTAATTGCTCCGCCGTGGGTTTTAGACTGATTCTCACCGTATTATTTTAATGATCCTTTGACTGAGTCAGGCTGGAAGAATCCCATAAACTTCAGTGACACTGGGGGTGATGTGGATGGGCACAAATCAGGCTGCAGCCTCGCTCACAATTCTTCTCGAGGCTCCCAGGGGAAGACAAACAGCTTCAAGATTTGACCTAAAAAATTTGGCCGTGGCTTGAGCTGAGCCCTACAAAGAAGCAGCACAGATAGGTCTCTGTGGTCCAGCTGATAGAAGATTTCCACCAGCTTTTCTAGCTTGACCATGACCATTTTTGCTTGAAAAGTGTGACACATCTCTGGCAGCATTGGTGCCAGGCAGCTCTGTGGAGGTGGCAGTGACAGTGAAGGGCACCCAGTTCCAGCGTATTTTCCATCACATTGCCTGTCCACACAGGGACAGAAATTCACTGAGCCAACCCAGAAATCAAAGCACTTTCAGCGAGGTAGGGAAGGAAAGAAAAGCAGTTTCACCTGCTGCTTCAGCCAAAAGCTGCTGATGGAGCTGGTGTGGCACACTGGCACAGACAGCTGAGGGCACAGCTGGAGCTGAGGACAGGCGTTTTTGGGATGCTTCTGGCCATCTGTGGGGTTCCATCAGCTCTGTGAGCATTAGTGCAGTAGCTGGGTGACTCCAGAGATGCATTCCTTGCAGGCAGCATCATGTCAGCAGCACCAGCTTCACTGCACAGATTCACCTAATGGCTTGGAGCCAGCAACTCTGTCACCTTTGGTGCTAATTATTTGCTCCTCCAAATAACTGGAGATGCCTGTGAAGTGTGGAGTGCTGAGTCTGTGCAGGTGATGGGGCAGGAGGGACCCTGAGCGATGCTGTGGTGCCAGGAGATGTGGGAGAGGGGGTGGCAGCCCCTGCCAGAGCAAGGTTCTGTTCTGTCCTGTCTGCATGTCATGGGGGAAAAGAGGGGACACTGCAACTGTGCCCTGTGGCTCTGGCTTGTGCAAGGCTCAGCCTGGCTCATTGTTTTGGGCAGGACCACTGGATGAGCTGAGATGTGGAGGGTGACACCAGCTTTGGGATTTCTGCTGGGGTTTCAGTGCTGGGTTCGTGCAGACAAATCCTTGCACTTGTGGCACATAATTCTGGGCACACACACACTCCTGCCGGGCTGACAGAATCGTGGGATCATGTTGGAATCTGAGGTATTGATGATCGCAAGATTGTAGAAAGTCTCTGTCTGTCAGCCCCGCTGCCAAAGCAGAAGCCATAATTGGTCTGTGCTGGTTTCAAGGTTGTTTATTCTGTTTATCTCTAACATGTTCTGCTGCCCTGCCACAGCTCTGTCCTGCAGGGCAGCGTGTGGGGCTCTGCCCTCAGTGGGATCTTACAAACATTAAATACCACAAACTACCTGTGCTGGATTTACAATAACGTGCCAATATCTGTCACCTACGTTGGACAGTGTGTCCCCAGCCTAAACCAACAGAAAAATGCCAACACCACAGTGAAACATGGAGGGCATGAAGAAGGAGAAAAAGGACAAAACACACCCAATTTCCTCCATCTTGTCCCCTTTGGACCCCGAATCTAGAATCCTAAAATTTTACTTTTGCACCCGTGTCACACTTAATTATTACTCTTATCAAACACTCAGAGCTTGTAATTCATCCTGTAAGATTGAAAACTCTTTTCCATGGACAGAGATCATAGACAGTGTCTCTGGGAGCTCTGTCCAGGGGGGTTCCTGACCCCTGCCAGGGTCCCAGGGCAGCCAGAGGGATGACCTGGACTCCCACAGGATCACTGAGGTTGCAAAAGAGCTCTGAGATCACCAAGTCCAACCTTTGAGCAATCCCCACCTTATCAGCTGGACCAGAGCACATCCAGAGCCACATCCAGTGGTTTCTTCAGCACTTCCAGGGGTGGTGACTCCACCACATCCCTGGGCAGCCTTTCCTGTGCTTGACATTTTGCTGGATTAGGCAGAGTTTGGGGAGGGGCTTTGTAGCACCTGGTTTGGGGCTGAGGTCCCCCAGTATCTGCAGAGATATTGAGCAAGGATTAAAACCATCCTGGTGGGGTTTAGTGCTCATTCCAGACAAACATGAGGGAGGGAGGAGAGGGTCCAATGATGCTGCACACCCTGGTGGAAGTTTGCCAGCTCCTGTAGGGCTGATGGGCCTGGTTTATTCTGACACACTTGAAATCTGAATCATGGTTATTATTTATGCATTGGTATTAGCAGCAATTTTGCCTTTTTTTTTTTCCTCTCCTGAAACTCGTCCTGAAGTACAGAAAGAGAAAGATATAAGTAACACATTTTCAAATGTTCTTTCCTAGTGAATTACTTGGCCTGACAGTGGAAATGAATTATTTTCCATTGTACCAGTGACCCCTGTTGTGTGTTCTATTAACACCACATGTTAAACTTTTATATTTTTAGTAAACCATGACCTTGTACATTCTCTGTCATTTCCCACTGGCATAAGTACAACACATGTGGTATGAAAGTTAACGGTTTTCATTTGTATACAGAGCTTTTCTATCTCAGCCTTGTATGAAAACACACAGGTCATGGTAATCAGGGCATCCCAGGATTTCACCAGCTACAAACAGTCACAACAAAGTGGATGTGTTTTCCAAAAAACATATTTTTGGCATCCTGCTTTCTTCTGTGTTGTGCAAATCCAGATGAAAATGGGATCTTGAAAGGCTGTGTTAAATTTTTTGATCGTGCTAATCCAAACAACTGTCTCCAACACATGCACGAGCAGGAGGAAGTCTATAAAATGTCAGGTTTGGTCTAAATATCTGCAGAACAAATGTGGCTCAGGAACATGACCCAGTGTGCAGGAGTCTTTAGATAAAAGATGATGTCACAGAGGTTTGGTATTTTATTTCATCAAATGGTAAAATTGCCCTAGACATCTAAAAAATTATGGATGATTTATGGATACAGCCCAGGCTATGGAAGAGAGAATAATTCCTTCCAGTTGCCAAAATATTTCTTTTTATTTTTTCCCCTTCTTTTCCTTTTATATATATATATATATATATTTTTTTTTTTTTTTTTTTTGTAGCCTGGGTTTTTTAGATGTGAGTTTTAGGTGTACTGGGGTGTGCTCTCAGCTCATGCCTGCTCACCATAAAAATGTGCCTACGTGTGGAAACACTGACCTGTGTGGTCATTTGGGTTCTTCCCTGAACCAGCCTGTCTTGTGGGCATTTCCAGCACTGATTCCTCTCTAGGAACCCACAGGGGTTCCTAAAACATTTTGGCTGACAATAAGAACTCACATCTTGGCACAGCTGCCCCGGCAGTGGTGGAGGGATTTAAAAACCATGTGGATGTGGCACTTGGGGACATGGGTGAGTGGTGGCCTTGCAGTGCTGGGTTAAGAGTTGGACTTGATGATCTAAAAGGGCTTTTACAACCTTAAGGATTTTGCGGTTTTGTGTTATAAAAAAAGGGCGAAGTTCGAAGTCAGGTTGAAGTTTCCGCAGCTGCTTTGCTGGACTTTGACGGAGCATCATCCAGCAAGGAGAACTTTGCATGATCAAAGGGCAGCAGTGAATTAAATGGGGAAAAAAAGAGTAAAAATGTGCAATTTCATGGGATCACAAGATGGTTTGTTTGGGAAGGGATCTTAAAGATTATCCAGTTCCACCCCCTGCCATGGCCAGGGACAACTTCCAACATCCCAGGCTGCTCCATGCCCTGTCCAACCTGGCCTTGGGCACTGCCAGGGATCCAGGGGCAGCCACAGCTCCTCTGGGCACCTGTGCCTCACCCCCCTGTCCTATTCACCTGTCACACCACAGCATTTGCTCCCCTTCTCCTGCTGAACCTCGGTGATTTCCACCCCTGGAGATCTCATACCTCACATCAGGAGCTCCAACACCTTCCCAGTTAATTCTGGCCGTGCAATCAAGCTTGGAGTTGTGCTTCTCCAGGATTCCACCTGCTCTCTGCACCACCTCTCAGCCCTGGCAGTGCTCTGGGTCATTGCTGGGGATGGGGACATTTGTCCCCTGCATCCCAGGGCTCCAAGATGCTGTCTCACACTTCCAGGCTGGCAGCTTCCAAGATGACATAATCCTGTTTGTGATGTAACACCGCGTCTGCCAGGACAAACTTCCAGTGTTTGGCTCGGGACCAGCCAGGCTCAGATTCTATTTATGACAAATAACCATTGTCTCAACAATCCCAGAAGGATTTCTTTTTTGTCTCCTCCTGGTGCCGTGGCCATTGTGGCATGATAGGGGCATTTCTAACAAAAAAAAGCACATTCTCTGGTAGTATGACCTTAAAACAAATTGTGTTTGCACTCATGCTCTGTGGTAAAGCTTTTTTCCCTTTGATTTGCCCTTTAGGATTTTATTCAGAGTGGGGTTAAATGTTCTCCCAGCACTCAAGCCAGAAAACAAGACAGGTAGGTGGGGGACAAATATATAAAGAAAGCATGATTGCTCAAAGAGTTGCCCTTGGTTTTGGGGTGTTTCCTCTCCAAATCTTTTGCTGGGTTCATATTTATGCTTCAGGTTTGCCAAGAAAATTACTCCTGAGTTTTCTTTATCCCTGATTCTCTTGCAGCCTTAGAAAGTCCTGGAACAGGAGAACTTGATGCAACCATGGGGATGACCAATAAAGCACATTGTTTTTGGGGATCCCAGTTATAAATATATAGAAGTTAATAAATAAAGGGATTTCAGCATCACTTCCGTGTAACAACAAACAAACCAACCCAGCTCCATTTATCCACCAGGTTTGAAAGTGTGACTTGTCAGAGATGGGGAGAAATCTCCTGTCAGCAGAGATAATGAGAAGGATAGAAGGGAGAATACAGGCAGGAAGTGATGGAGGAATGAAGAGGAAATGTAGCAGAGAGAAAAAAATAAACAACCAACAAACAAACAAAGATTACAGGGAAAAACCCTTGCAAACAAAGCCAAGTAAGAAATAGGAGACAGAACTGTGGTTATGTATGAAATATAGGGGACTCAACCATCCACGGGGCATCTTTATGTTTGTAGGAGGAATGATGAAATTGATAATTTCCAAATACGTACTACAGGTTTCCTGTGCTTGAAAATTGAAATTACTGAACAAAAATGAAAAAAGAAAAGAGAAAATTGAACCATTGGTGGCAAAACAAAAGACATGGGCTGAAATGCTAAGAAAGAACTGTTTATTAAAGGGAGTTGCTCTGTGGGACTACAGAAATCCTGTCAGCTGAGGTGCTGCCTGTACCTGTGGCAGGTGTAGCAGGGCTTGATATTCAGATTTGAAAGTGCTCTGTGCTTCTCTGGGAGAAGCAGAGGATGTGCAGAGCTCTTTGCTGGGTCTGTTGCAGCCTTTCTGAAAATGATGTTGGAAGCAAATCCACGCCTTCCCTACACAAATCCCAAACTGCATCCATCGGCCGTTTCACCCTGGGGACTGCTGGGCTCTGCCAGGGCAGGATCCAGAGCTCGCTGGAGAGCTTCTAAATCAAGGGACTCCCTTGTTTGGGGCTTTTCCCAACCTGGGGGTGGCAGAGCCCTCCCTAGAGGTTTCCTGGAGCACTGGTGGGCTCTCTCCAAGGGCACCTCCCTGCCCTGAGTGACACAAACCACAGCAGGACTTGATGGATACCAGAGCAGCCAGTCAGGCAGACACTGGCTGGCTTTTCCACTGGAGCTCTCCCCCTGCTATTATTTATATTCCATTTCACTTGCTCACATGTAACTTAAAACCAGCCCAAAGCCAGCAGCCCCATCCAACCACGGGCCAATTAAGCTGGAGTAGCCCTCTCTCCCTTTCTTTCTCCCTTTCTCCCTCTCTCTCCCATGGTTGCTGCAGGCAGGAATAAGGCTGGCTATTGTTAGGCACTCCCAGTGGTGGCCCAGCAAAGCCTGGGTGCCAGTTCAGTGGCTCAATATGGGCCCTGTTTATTTTTTCACAGTGGCAATTTCCAAGGGGTTGTGGAAGAGTTGTTAAAATTAGCGTCAAGAATTTCAGCCACAGAAAAGGTCCTTTCACCTTATTCTTCAAAAAGCTTGTTGTTTCCCAGAGCAGCTGCCCCTTCCAACCCGCCTGAAAGCCTCAATTTCCATCTGGGAATAAAAAAATCACCGTCTCCAGACCCCAGAATGAGGCTTGGACAGGTTTTGGTGGGATCAGGCTCATTTGTGTGGGTGTGGATGGCACCTGCCAGGAGGGAGAGCACCAAAATCCATCCCTTGGAAAGGCTGAGCAAAGCCAGCTGAGCTGGAGAGGGACTGGAGGGAATGGTGCTGCTCCAAGAGGATGCCAGGAGGATACAAATCTCCACCTCAGCATCAAAAGAAATAAACATCCCCATCAGGACTGATGGCTCTTGACATCCCAGGGTCTGGGCAGCATCAGGAGGGAGGAAGGTGATGCTTTCTGACAGCTCGGCGTGACATCTGGCCAGATCCCCTTCCCAGGAGTGGAAAGGAATAGGGATTCCCTAAATATTTGGCAGCAGTAAAATGGGATTGTTCAGAAGTGCTCCAAGTCCTAGAGCCTCCCTGTCCTACAGGATCTGTACCAGGCTCTGAGTGAGTCCATGCTGTGGGCAGAGGGGTTTGAGTCGGGCTCTTTGCTCTGTTTTGGAAAATGATGGCAGATAAGGAGCCTGGAGACACAAGGATTAGTTTGGTTCCTCCAAAGCTGCTTATTTAAATTCAGGCCAAGGTCTCTTGAGTCAGCAAAACTCAGCGGGAGCTCTCACAAAAATAGGGTCTCTTTTGAAAATTCGCATGCTTCCTGTTTGTGCAAGCGCCGTGAGAACTGCCTTTCCCATGGCATGTCTGGGCTGCAACCAGGAAATAGTCGGGAATTTGGAAACAAGGAATAATTGCTAAAAAAAAGGGAAAAAAAAAGAGAGATAATCATATTTCTTATTCCCTCTCAGGCTGAAAGAAAGCTTTGTGCAGTTTGGTATCCTGTTAGTCAACTGTCTTTAACCAGGTTTGGACTGGATGATCCGTGTTGGGTTCAGTGATCCATGTGGGTCCCTTCCAAGTCAGGATATTCCATATCCTTGGGTGCATCAATCCAACACAGTCTGGTGTCAGCCAGTGCTGGAAATTATCTTGTGTAAAAACATCATCCTGAGGTGTGTGACTGTCCATGGGTTTGGAACTCATGGGGGGAAAATCCTGCTGTGAGAGGAGATTCAAACCAAAGATCATGGAGGGAAAATCCTGGGATTCAACCTGGATGGAGATCATGGGGGAAAAATCCTGGGATTCAACCTGGATGGAGATCATGGGGGAAAAATCCTGTGATTTAACCTGGATGGAGATCATGGGGGGAAAATCCTGGGATTTAACTTGGATGGAGATCATGGGGGAAAAATCCTGGGATTCAACCTGGAGATCATGGACAGAAAATCCTGCTGTGGGAGGGGATTCAAACCGAGATCATGGAGACAAAATCCTGCTGTGAGAGGGGATTCAACTCTGGGGATTCTTCAACCACTTAGCAGAGGGGTTCAGCATCACCCACATGTACCAGGTCATTCAGTACCTTCATTTCATACATTCAGGTGCAAGGTGAGAAAAGTAATTTCCCTTGGATATTGCAGGATACTTCTGCATTAAATATTCCCTTTTAGACACAGTATTTCCTGCCATCACCTTCCCACGCACATAGAAGATAAAAATCTTAAAAATTTCTAGAATAAAGAAGATTACAGTGTAACCTAAACATTTTCTGAGGTTTAGAAATCTGCAGGTCTTGGGACATAATAAGTATTTACCCTTACATTAAGAAATTGTTTGCTAAAATGTGACTAAATGGAGATAAAACATCCCCAGTGCTGCTCTGGCTGCACTGGGGCCATCGATTCTCACAGGGACAATGTCACCTGTGGCTCCTGCTTCACCCCAGCCCCTGCTCAGCCCATCCCTCTCTGCCTTTCCCCGGGGGAGGACTCATTTATCTCCCCAAAGGTCTGGCAGGGTGCAGAGCTCCCTCTGGGCTGGGCTGCTGATGGATGCCCGAGCTATTTCAGGGCCTGGGGAGGCACAAGGGCACGTGAGACAAATGGTGTGCTGCTGATGGGAGCTGGCTCAGAGCCACTCTGCTGCTCCTCAGCCTGCTGGAGACCCTCTGCTCGTGTTCCAGGGGTGCCTCAAGGAGCTGGGACAGAGGCCAGACGGAGCTGAGAGGAATAAAGTGGATATTTATTGACGTGTCTTCGGAGGCCACACCCTGCCAGTACCGTGATGGCTCCATGATGGAAGCAAAAGAGCTTGGTCATGAGATCTCACATTTTTATTGCTGGTTTTTGGCTTCCTTTTGGACCTCTGTTGAGGTTGGGATTGAAGGCACTTGGGACAATAATTTGTGTTCATACTCAGGTGTTTATTATTACTTATCTATGCTACAATCCCGCAGCAGTGAGCTCTGCAGTCTTTCATTAGCAAGGCACAAAATGGCCAATTATCTCTTGGTACAGGGTCTTTTAAGGCTAAACTATCCAATTAAGAAATTACACTGAAATAATTTTCACTTTCAACTCAATAACTAATCACTTGAAATCTGCAATGTGGATTTTCTGCCCAATTACACAAACCCACACAAACCCATGGAGAAGAAGGTGCAGAAGAACAACCAGCCACGACCCTAAAACCTCCATCTTGCCCCATATACATTGCTATATTCTAAAAGTCTAAACTCTAAGTTTCCCACCCTGTGATATTTCACACTTCTACCCAACTACACACCGGTAATCCCAGTTCTATAATTCAATTTTGGAAGCCTTCTCCATGACCTCAGGTCAAATTCAGTGTTCTCCTGAGAGTTAGAGTCTGTCAGCACAGAAAGTCTAACATTCTCAGCACCCAGAACTCCAACATTTTATCATGTTATAAAATACATGTTATATATTTGCATATATGAGTTAACTGCCCAATTAATAACTTCAAATGATGAAGTTTCATCCTCCTTGCTTGCTTGCCCATCCTCCTCTTTTCACGTTGTTTATGCTTTGGGCCTGAAGTTTGAAGAGATTATCCTTGAGTACCCAGCCAGAATAGAATTGTTTTGTCTTCTCCACCCTGTGAAAAGATCCCAGTAACACTTAATATAAAGCTAAAAGGTTTTAAGGATTTTTTTTTTTTTTTAAAGAAAAACCTTAAAACCTAAGGTATCACCAGAGCAGCTCTGCTGTGCTCAGTCCCTTCTGGGCTGAATTGGGTTTATTTTATCCCTTCCTGGCACATCCCAATCCAACCAGAACCTACCTATATGTCCCTTCTTGCTGGGATATCCCCACCTGGGACACCTGAGTGGGGCTGGAGGATGCACACAGAGCTCCTTGGCTCTCCTGGAGCAGCAGCTGGTGGCCAGATGTTGTGTCCCACAGTGCTTCCAAAGCCCTGGGGACAGTTTAATTTTCTGCCACAGGCGTTTCTAGGACTTGTCCCCATCTTTCATGTCAGCTCTGGGCTTTTTTCTCTTTCTCATCTCCCTGTATCCTGGCTTGACCTGGCCTCAGTGACCCACCCACATGGCAGTAGCCGGATTTGGCTCACACAGCTCTGACAACAAAGTTCTGCTTCTTCAACAGCAAAATTTGGGCTCAGTTATCTGCAGCCACTGATTTTGTCTGTGCACAAGGGTTCTTAGGGCTTCTCCCTTGTTTGTATCCAAAATCCACTGCGAAGAAAATATTTCTGAGCTCTCTAATCCC